GAGACTGAATCAATTAGAAGTAGCACTTAAAATCCAGAGCAGAATTTGTGTTGTCTGATCAACTGCAACTAAACATAAGGAAAGGAGATCGTGTTCAGATACATATTGAAAAATGCAAATGCCCACTTCCATATGCAAGGACACCTTGGATGACAGTAGCAGTAATAAACCAAAATGTAGGCATTGCTAACATACTGCAATACAAACTACTAAAATATAGTAAGTGTCATTTTCCTTCTGGGATAGATATTTTTCAGTCCCTGAAGCTTACTTTATCCTTAAAAACAGAACATAGCTATATTAACAATTCTACACGGAGAGGGAAATATTAAATTGAAAATATGATGAACAAGACAGTTCAATAAGATACTTATTTCCTTGTAATAAATCGAACATACAAATTATTACAGACTAGACAACATTATCAACTCTATTGGTTTGTTTATTGATTTGTTTATTCACAATAGCCTCTATCTCACAATATAGGCTCCTTAGGCATGAACAAGGATTAAAACCAAAACTAAAACACAGTATAAATAATAACCGAAACTAGCAAAATAAATATGTGGGCAAATGCAAAAAACATTCCAGTTCAAGTTCTAGGATGAACAGATTACTGTATATACTCGAGTATAAGCCTAGTTTTTCAGCCCATTTTTTGTGCTGAAAAAATCCCCCTCGGCTTATACTCGAGTCAGATTCCCCTCTGAAAAAAAAAATGGTGTGGAGTCGCGGCCTCCGGCGGCAGCGACTCCCAACAGCCCCAGCCAGGAAGGGAAAGGCAAAAAGCGCTTTGCCTTTCCCTTCCCGAGGTGGCGGGACTGGGGCCGGGCCGGCGGTAGTGACTCCTGACTCAGGGGGCCTCTGAGGGAGGGGAAGAGAGTGACTCCTGCCTCCCGCTGTCATCATCATCTTCTTCTTTTGGGTTAGTGAATCAATTAAACCTTTCATGATAGTGAGATCATTTCCCAAATTAATTATTTTTATTTTTGAAATTTACCAGTAGCTGCTGCATTTCCCACCCTCGGCTTATACTCGAGTCAATAAGTTTTCCCAGTTTTTTTGTGTAAAATTAGGTGCCTCGGCTTATATTCGGGTCGACTTATACTCGAGTATATACGGTAAGTAGCAGAGCTCACTTCACAGTCCAAAAGCTTACTTACAAGGTCAACTTTTTCTATTGCTACAGAATCTTTGTATCATCATAACCTTTAGCCATCCAGAATCTCTCAACAGTGAGATAGGCGGCATGTAACATTAATACATAAGTAAAAATAAAGCTTATAAACATTAGTTTGGAAACAATTAGTTTAGCTTCAGCATAGCAGTATGCCTAAAACAAAACAAGAGCTGCTAATCAGTCCAAAGGCCTACCTAGAGGATTAGTTATTTTCCAAATTGGCCAACTTGATATCTAGCAAAAGGGCCTCCTTCCATTCTTATTTGCAACAGAACAATACTAATTTCTAATACTAATGTAGCCATCACACTGAACAGTTATTGAAAGCTTAATTCTCAATTTGTTCCCTTCTAGTTTATAGCATTCATGTTCACAGACATCACTGTTATTTCTTGTAGAAGTGAATTCTATAACTTTATCTGTGGGATCCTTGAAGCTCTCTTGTCTGCCAGTTTTTTTTTTTTGGGGGGGGGGGGCCTTGGTGGTTCCTGGATTAGTGTTTTCTGCTTGATTGTTTGCCTAGTGTTAATCTATGCTTATCTGAGCATTGGCTGCTGGAGAGTATGCTTGTTCTGAGTTTTTGTTGTTTCCTTAACTTTTTTATTGTCTTTTGTCTCTGAGGGTAATAGGCAGTTTAAAAACTGGATAAAGTTACTATGTATAATAGCAATAGCAACAGCACTTAGACTTATTTACCACTTCATAGTGCTTTACAACACTCTCTAAATAGTTTACAAACGGAGTCAGCATATCTGGGTCCTCGGTTTACCAGGCTTGGAAGGATGAAAGGCTGAATCAACTTTGAGCCAGACAGGACTAAATTCTGGCAAT